AATGTCAAACAGTCTGTACACTCAGGGAGTACAGTTTGATGAGTTAAAAGCACTGTACACAAAATGTGTTTGTTATAGACAGGAGCGTGCAGACTGAGACAAGCTAACAATGGCAAACAAGGTACAGTAACTAAATTCAAAGAAACTATTGATAGTACAGTTCAATTTGCTTTAACACATATGTAAACAGCATACAGGGTTTCAATCATATCATCTACAATACTAGTGTATTGAATTGATCGTAAATGTACCTGTTATATTGGTTAATAAACAATTTTTTTTTTCTTTACTCAAATACGGTTTTATTTTATGCTGTTATTGACAAAGCCCAGATAAAAATACATAGTCATATGCTACTTTACGTACAAAACACGAGTTAAACAACCATAAAAAGGGTGATTTTGAAGCCTTTGATTTCTATCATGAAAAGGATCATCATATTTCAAAATTTTATGTAGTTATGAGTACATGTACTTATTTTTGTTAAATTAGGAAATTGATGAATACTATTTATATTTTATATTTTTACACATTCCTAGAAAAAATGTTCAAAAATGTTTTTTGTATTTTTCTAGGCGTTTTTTTCTCCCATAAAAATATTTCATAAACCGTAAACAAACGAAAAGCTGATGTGTCCAAGTCAATAATTATTGAAACAAAAAAACTGCGATATATTTTTCGTCCCTTATCAGTATTAATATTATTTTGATTGAATACACACACACACAAATAGTACACAAAAAACACCACATCAAATAAACTGCAAACAGATGTTCTTCTATTTACTGTTGAAGTTCAAGGAGGTGGATTTTACCATGAGTATTCTCTATTTCTTAGACTGGAGTGTCAATGATTGTCAAAACACACTATGTATTGTATAGCAAGTTTATCTAAACTCATCAATCAACAAGAAAAACTGACAATGCAAGGTGATAAAATTTGGATAATGCCTTTTAGGATGATCCCAAGTCAATACCATAATTTGAGAAAACAATCCATAAAACACATTTCCGAAGATTGTTTAGTTCGTTTCCAAGGCAACATTTAGTTGATTGCGAAATGTCAACTAATGGATATATTTTTATATCTTCACGATTGGGCAATCATGTCATGAACATCTTTGAACTTAGGTCACTCCTAAATTTACGATGATATCTTCACCAGTCAACTTCGAGCCGGTATAAAATGATAAGAGAAAGTCGCGTTCGACAAAATAACATGCGTCATTAAACCAGAGGAGAGAAACATATTTATGTATATTTCATTGTGAGCTACAGACAGTAATATCAAAGTCATATTTTTAAGCAACAAAACTTGAATGGTAGTCGCCACATTATTTATACCGTTAAGGGACTGTGGTATAACCATATATATACCTTAGAAAACAAAGGTCTATTTTATAACAACTGCGCGGCATGATATTTTAAATTAAATTAAAACAAATCAAATACTTTTTTTGTAATCATCAAGCGCAAAACAAGTGTGCTAGAGACTCCACTATCTCTTTCCAATGGTGGGTACGTACTTTTTTCCAGTGATGAACTAGTAGTGCGTATTTGTGTTCAAGGTGAAAACGGCGACCTGGGAACAATTACATAATTTTGACGAAGCCCTCAGAGGCATACACCAACACCAACAAACCGACAACGCTTTTGTGAATTATCGAAATATGTTCATAGAAATAATTACTTACTCCGTAATTCTCGGGTCCAAATTACCAATCCACAATCGATGATCACCACCAGTTGCCGTAGTCGCCTCAGCCATTCTATCCGTGCCACAAGGAATTGATTCACATTCGTGCTGTTCTCGCAAAGAGATGTCAACGTTCTGTACGTAAATTCTGCGTGCCCGCCATGTTTTCTATTGACAAGCACCCCTAGGTTGCATCAATTTGCTAGCAAGGCCACCTAAGATTGATGTGAAAAAGTTCATAAAGTTGGATTTCTTTCCGACGGTGGCGGCGCTGCTGGTGACGATATCAGGATGATTCAAGATAGCGACTGAATTCGTTCACCCTATATGCGCTGGACGTTTACGTGGCTTCAACTTACATCAAAAGAAGTCCTCCACTTTAATATCCTATCATTCCTTGCTGCTTACAACAATTGTGAATTTCATATACGTGGTTACGGTACGGATTAGCAAAGAAAACATATATCGACGGCATTCTGCAGATTTTCAAGCACCTGTTAAACTGGATATTGAGGAAGAAACCCCATGAAAGAGTTTATTCACAAAGCTTGCATGCAAGTTTTACTCTTCGATAGATAATGATATTTTATTTTGGTAATCGATGATGTTATGCCCCAAAGCTTGACCCGTGTCACGTGGCTGACAACCGTTGTCGGGGTATCTCACGGGATATCGCAATGAGCGGAATATCCACTATTCATCATGATTTCATTCACATGAAAAAATCCGGTCGACACACTGTAGAACCTGTGTAGAGTTTACCACGCTCAAGTTTGCTATCTGAAATGCAATGAACAGCATTTATGATAATGCAATTGAATTTATCATTATTGATAAAACAAAACAAAAACGACATCATCAATTGTGTGCACGTATACATGTTATATTGTGGAATTATTTTAGTGATTGTGCATTTATGTGCTCAAAACACCCGGCGTTTATGTTGGAACCAAAATGTAGGTAACTGTGAAATATTGAAGTAACGTACTACGTATATGACAACAGAAGGCAGCAAAGCAAGCCTACGCGTTGATCGCCAAAAGAAGGCGTGATTTAACGATGTCGCCGGCCAGGCATTCTCTTAATGGTGGCACATCTAAGTTGACATTTTTTCAAAAATAATCGAACGATTTATTTTATTTTATTTATTTTTACGACAATCATTGCCCAATCAATTGAATTACCTTTCTCGGAACATATATATGTGTTTATTTTAAAAACGAAACATATGTAACAAAAAAACAAAATAAAAATTATCTTTCAGTTTCCTCCAAGCCAGCGACCAGGAAACAATCCCTGTATTATCTTACATTTACAACGTACATGTACACACACATCAATATCTATATCAGAGGAATATATTCATGAGCGCCCAGTAGTAAAAAAATACACAGAGATATTTTCTTCACCTTTTTTTCAATATATTACTTTGATATTTATAGTTTTGTTATCGTACGTTTGAGAAGTGTCTAATGTTTGCCTCTTGTCCATCCATGGAGCTAATCTATTTTTACCTCCATGGTCCATCAGACATGGGTTGTTTATGTTTGTACAATCTAAGGCGACAAATTGGTTAAAAGTTGACCTTCTCCTAGTCGTCTCATTTTAAAGTAGCATTACAAAATATTAAAAATGTAACAATACAGAGTAATTTCTGCATATATATATATATATATATATATATATAGGTAAGGTAGCATTTTTATTTCACGGTATATCGTAATTCAATGTGTTCAAATTTATGTTAATTATTCATAGTTTAATCATCCATATTGCGTTTTGAATTTAACAGTACATCGATTCTAACAACTGTTTGTTCAGATAGGTAACTTTTATGATTTTCGACGTTAGTGGCGCTGTTGCAAGGATGGCGGGCAAGTAAATTGATATGTGATGACGATAGGATTTGAGACAGACCGTAATCATCTGTTCAGCTTATCAAAAATTGTAATTTGTTATCATTCATAAAATGTTTTTTTTTTTTTTTTTGCATCTTTTGTAAAGATTATGAAAAACAAAATTAATTAACGTGAAACAGTGAGTCTCTGATAAATCTCATTTAAAACACCTGATCATCAAGACAAGAACTCGATAAATTTGTGGTAACCATGGTTATGATACAACAATCAATCACAAAGGCTATTTTGATCTTTTGCAAACATAGGACATTATAATAATGTTTACGTTCATTCCAACTCACCAAACTATCAGGGGAAACAAATATAATGTTGTAAATTCTTCAACTTTTTATCATGCCTAATTCATTCTCCAACAATTTTTAAATTTGACGCAATAAAGTTAGAAAGTGTTCGCATTTGATACCGAAGTTTATTTTGAAAAATTTGATCAATTAACTTCAAAACAGCAAAATTCATGGTGACTGGCCACGTGGTAGCCCAAAACAATCGTCACGATGAAGACCAGGGCCAGGCAGTGGATTATATATATAAACCAGTAAGAACGTTATTTACGACGAGTCTAAGTTATCGAGTAACTGTGTTATGTTATGTAATCAATTTTCGCGGACATTCAAAATGATCCCAGAACTGGGGTCGGTGGCCTGTCTATCTACTAATTTGCATAACATTATAAAGTGGGTGCATTTCATTTATAATGCTCTGAGGGTGTTTGCGCTATAGAAGGGGGCCGGGGACATTTAAATGTTCAGTTGTTTGCTCTTTTTTACTTACTTGACGAAACCTTTTGTTCAGTAAAATATTTTGTAGTGATAGATTTTGTTTTCAGCATATTTCATGAAAACGGCAGAGGGCGCTGCACCCTGTGGCAGGCGCCGGTCACATTACACCATAAACGCAATGTTGGGGGATACAAAGGTCACTTATGTGTGTTTGTTTAAATTGACACACCCATCCCCCTAACTGGACGGGCAAATCTAGATAAAATCTACTGTCTATATAAATGTTTAATTTGTTATTGAGAGTTAGAAGAAATACGTGTTGAGCTAGGGTGTCTTTTTGTTAAAGATTCGACTCGGAGTTAATATTTCACAGTTGTTACAGGTTATCTCGTATGTCATCATATTTTACAAACTAGGAACAAGTAGAATTCAGGTAAAATTCATTGGTTTTTGCCCCATAATTAACATATTGAGACACAGTTATACCAGATAAGTATATTACATTATAACTGTGTTTATTCTGCAAAGAAGGGTGTAACGTAACGAGGCGATGAGATGCCCTAATGTTATTAGATTGTTCGGGTGAGACATGTCGTGACATTGACTTTATCTTCTTCATGGACGCCATGTTGTTTTGATATTTGTTGTAGAACTGAAAAACATTCAAATCAAATGGTCACGGCTTCATATAGTAATTATGTGTTTGTGAACCAGTCACGTTCCCACAGTATAGTCCATATGCCGGTATATCGCATCTTTATAACGAACGATTCAGACAACCACTGAATATATACTACACACGAATACGTGGGCTTGTACATGATGGACACTATTGCATGTCCGTGTTAATTATTAGAAAAAAATACATCTTTCAACACAGACAATCATCACCGCCCACTGTGCCAAATACAATTTGTTCTACCACCAACATTAAGTAAGGTAACTCCCATAGTGTTCTAGTGTCTTGTTATACCAATTTGTGCACATTCAAGTTCATATCTTGTAATTTGAGTAAATGTTATTCAGTCACATCCCTCGAGTGTATGTCTGGTTGATTTCCAGTACTGTATTACACCCCCTCCTCCATGGCACGAAATGCGTTTCTTTATCAATGCTTTTTTTTTTATAAACATGCGCACGTATATTGTTTCTAATCGAAAAAAATAACGTTTTTCTTTTTTCTTTTAAGGTTTAGTTGACCAAATTTAAGTTACTGCTATGACTGTTTAACTGTACATGTGTCTGGTAAACATAATTCTAATTGATGCGATGATTGACCCCTATAGGTCACACATCCTGGTACTTTCTGGTGGTGTTGTTATTTTATAACAGTAATAATTCCCCATATTGTACACCAGTCATTGCCATGTTAAACATTGTTTGTTTAATTCCAATGACAAATTGCATTGTTGCATTGGGGAAGTGGTGATTGGGAAAATCACATTGATTGTGAATGTGTACTCCCAGAAAGTGACAGGGTATTGCGTACGGTCTATTGTAATAAAAAAACATCAAAACTAATTTTATTTTGATTAACTGCATGTCCGAATCACATAATCTTAAACGAACAAACGTGTGCTGAGGAATAAAACAAAACTAGACCGCTGAATCGTATGGAAACAGTTTTCTGTAGGCGAACGCCCGCTAGCGACGAAGTGCTACAGTGACGTCAAAAAGGCGTAAATAAATGAACGTAATGAAGTTCAAACCGATGGATGATGTTTGGTTGTGTAGTCGATCCTCATTTAGAATACTCTCAAATATTGAAAAACTTGGCTGTGAAGTTTAATCAAACATTGGTATAAATAATTTAGACTTAACTTCTCGAAAATCTACTGCAGCCTTAATCAAATAAATAGTCAGCTAGCCCGGGAAATACTCTTTGGAAGTTAATCCTGCGACGTAATGCAATGGTTAACAGCTATTCCGCTATTTCATTGGGTGGTTGAGCTCAGTTATTTAAATATTTATAGTTTTTTTTCAGAGCAGTCCTTGAGCAGTGGAGATATAATGAGTGTTAAGACAACTAAAGTTGAGAAGTGGTGCACGATTGCAATCACCATATTTGGCCTGGCTGCTCTCGTACTCTTTATTTGTATGGCTATATGGTTTGTACCTGAATGGGAACAAGAAACAGGTGAGTGTATATTGATTGGCGCCACCAACGTCGACGTTTTACAGTTATATTGTCTTTTGCATTTACATTGTTTCATTTACATGGACACTCAACATGTTTTATTTGTTGTTGTTTTTTTCAGTGGAGTCAACGACAATCGTAGGAGTGAAAAATATACTTGGCGGGATAGAAGATATTGCGGCAAAAGGGGTCGTTATCGACGGAGCCAGTTCGTTAAAGGTATGTTATCTTAGTAAAAGAAGTTGTTCCACTTTATTTATGTCATTTACGGGAAATTTATTTATGTCATTTCCAGATCACTCTAAACATAATGATGTCCTTTGGTTCAGTCGATTTGGTTGATATTGCATAAACAAGCACAACTACGTTTACTGAATAGACTACTGCGCTCTGGCAAAGATGCTTTCGGTGTTCTAACCGCAAGGAACTCTGGGAGGGAGAATTCGACAAACGCGAAACTATTTTGTTTTTGGATTTCCACGCTTATTAATACACGTTTTATGGGGGTCAATTTTGACGAAGTAAAATATCTCAACTTCATATTCCCCTCAGAAAGATAGAATATTGAACTGTAAAAATGAAAAATTAAAGTTCAAAATCTAATCATTCGATTTTTGCGGCAGGCGTTGGATCCTTATCTTTCACGCATTACGCGAGATCTCGCAGTAAACTGAAAATCACCTATTAATTACCCGTACTTGTTTCTTTCTTCACAGGATCAATATGTATGAACAGCATGAACACACTGGCGTAATGATTCAACCAAACAGTGCCTGGATATATATGAGTTGTACAAGATGTTAGAAACACAAACACATTATATAATACACGTGGTTATAGTCGGTCAGGTCTATTCGACCTGCAATAGTGTATATTATGCGTACGTCAAATTTTTAAAAAGTTGCATTCTCACTTTGCGTGTCCTGTGAAAAATCTCTCACTGTCCCCCGACATTTCCACTTTGTGTGATCCGTAGAACACCTTTCACTGACCCCTGTAAACATAAGGGCTTTGGATTTTGTACAGTTAATTGAGAAATCGTATTCAAGGGAATCCAAAAATCAAATATACAAAAATATCAAAAATAAAGCGGGCTTGAATGATCACAGATAAGAATTATGTTTGATTTGGTAATGAAACACCTCAACTTTTTGGGCAGGCTAGCTTCAGTACTCCAATGTTTCATGATTCGTTTCTAAAGCAACTGACTTTAACATTAGAGGGTCTATGATTTAAATCATTATTTCACAAGTTGTTCACACAAAATAGTAGGAAAGGTTCTTTATATATTTCAAAGTGGGAATGCAGCTTGAATTAACACACACATTCGCAGTAAATAAATCCAAACAGCATACGTAGCTTCGAATTTTTCTGTATATGCATGTTTCTTACGACTCAAAGTTTACAATATAAATTAAGAATAATATTTGTTGGTCGATTTCAAATCGGCACATAAAAATATTTTAGTTTGTTTTATTCTTTGGTAATCTAAATTGTGTTGAAGGTGATGAATAGTTTATTTTGTTTGTAATTTCAGATTTTTTATATATGTATTTGTTATAGTAATTGTAAAAAAAAATTGCATGGTTTTGTAATAAATATTTTAATTTACCCCGTCTGCTTTTAAAATGAAAACTGATTTGTTGTGTAATGGTGATTTCAAATCGACGTGCCGCTAATTCACGTTCTCGTAATGTCCCGTGTGACTCGAGACTATATCACTGCATGTCACATGACTACTCATTCTCTCCTTCATACGTCTTGTTCTCTAAAGTGACAAAGACATACATTTTTCTCTAGGGTGCCGTTCTCAAAATCGATCTTTTTTAATCCTCATCATGTCACGCACTCACTAATTAGCTAAATGTACTCGACTTGGAAAAACAACGATTTCTCTATATGAATTGTTGATTTCAAAATACGCACCGCTTATGTTTGGCGCCATGGACAATACACGTCCGACGCTATCTACCCGGGGTTGTAAATGTGAGTAACTTTGCCCTATATATTCCCACGAAAGGACGAATTTGAGTCACGTGTCTGGCATCACAGTTATTTGTGGATGTGTCAGATAGGTAGCGTTATCTCTTTGCTTATCGAATGAAGACATCTCGACTTCAGTGAGCGAATTGCAACGCACGGGGAGGAGGTGCCAATTTTCATAATTTACGGTAGGTTTGAGCTATTTACCAGCACGTTTTTGAAAATATGTACATGCTTATTGTACACAACGGTCTGTCGAACAATCTCATGGGTCAGCCTGTACGATATAGATGCCTAAATTGACGACATTGATCCGACGTAGATTACCGAATTGATTAAGAATATATCTCCTGTAATAATAGATTATGTATGTATATATGTATAAAACACAATGGTGGAATGGTATCAGGGAATAGTTATTCGGCTAGGGACTCTTACTGTATAGTATTGTCACAGAAAATATAAACCATGTTATGTTAAACACGGGTTAAACAAGGAGTCTTGCTCCTAAATTATACTTTTATAGCTAGGAATTTGGATCATGTCCAAACCACAGCATCTGCAAACTGCGAATTCAATTGCTGTCAAGGTATGCAAAAACGACTCCCACGGCACACACTGTCACCAAGCTTCGTATGTTTCATAGTAGAGAGCATTTAGTCTCCAAGGTGTTAACTATATACTCATACCAGCGTGATTCAATAATATTATGTACCAAACATTTTGGGGGCAAGACGTCTAGAAAATATTCACTGACTTTAATTCAATAATACAAACACAAGTTGATCTTTATTACCACTATTTTGCCATCGACCCCCAAATAAATACTTAATGATTAGAAATACAGTAGCCCGATGGCTCCCCTCCTGGTATGGTAAATATACACAAAATATGATAAACAATCATCGTGTAAGTAAATTGAGAAATTTGGTTGAAGTCGAAGGAGTGAAGAAACAAATGTAGTATATGTATATCTCGAATATGAAATATAAAAACCGCCAATGCCCCATCCCCCAAAAAACGAGAAGTCAATAATACAATCATTGGGCCATGAAAATATAAATGAAAGACGCATAATAAATTATCGCGAACCCATAACTATATTGTGGTGGTTCCAATATGAATCATCGTGTACACAGGAAGACAGCAAATGTTTACTTTCATGGAGTAAACATCATTACAGTGCTACCCTATTTACTGTATCATCTTCACATATTTATATTAGCTTTTCTGTCAAGGACTCACACCATTATCGGAGTCAATGCAAAAGCTACATAGATTGTTTCTAATTGGCAACACGACGCTAACACCCAACAGTCAGACCAATCAGAGAGAGTCGTTTGTTTGTTGACAGTTTGTTTCGACGTATCAAATCTTTTCTTGCATATATGCTCCAACGCGTAACTGGATTATCGATCCATCAAATGAGCTCATTGTTATCGATGCATGGTACGATGTAGAGCAACAATTGTGATCTTTGCTCGGAACTTCGGACTTTTTTACGAAGTTCAATCAGCCTCCGATATCACCACTTCTGCTCTATTATGATTTTCTCCGCTGTGACGGATAAGCTGACCTACCCGTATATTTATATTTATATAATGACACCGACAGATAGTCAAATAAATCTCGTGTCAATCTCGGATGACTCAGAGATTAAAAATAATAACTATCAGTATCAGCCAAATCAACAAAGTCAAGGACACGCGTAACACAGCAACCTTGCCCATCTAACAGTAGTAAACCTGAGTGTGTACATAACCTCTGCAATACGAAACAGACAATTTTTGAATTTTGAATTTAAAGGGCTGTAGTCGTCGCGCCGCGCATGCGCAAGATATGGGTCTCAAAAGAAACAAAGATGGCGATTTTGACTGTCGCGCTCACCAACTAGCACAAACTGAGAGGTTACTAAGCTTTAATTAATTTTTTTTGTGTGTTTGGGAGGTATCAAACGAGTTGCCGTTGGTAATTAGTGAAAGTGACGCCCATGACAAGACTTGTACCCATGATTTCATTAGAAAAAACGCTTTGGATTATGGGTAAATCAATGTTTATCAACACAAATGTCGCACATGTGCGGCGCGACGACCACCGCCCTTTAATGGGGTATATGTGGCCAATTGTTAATTGCTTTCCTAGGTCCGGTCCGTGTACAAACATTACAGCGTAATACTGAAAATATAACAGGCCCAAAGTAGAATAAGATTCTATATCTCTCAATTTTAAAACGCTTGGTGCAAAGGCTACTATAACTTCTTTGGCGGTAGCCCAAGCAGTATGAGCTTATTCACTTTGGTCGTAATATTGAAACCTCATGTCGATAATCTCAGCACCGTAACAATATAATAAATTCAAATATTATATATGAAATAAAAAAGTCGGCGGAATAGCAAGAAATTGCGTCTCCAAACGAGTAAACTGGCTAAAATCGCATATTCAACTTCTACCTCATGCAAGATAAATGATGACAGGTATAGTTGACAAATACACAAATGTCTGGTACGAGGTGGTGGACGACGGACCCTGTGGTAAACATAGATGTAGGTCATATTCTAGAATTAACACAGCTTTAAAAGTGGTCAATACTAGTATATCTGATAGAAACCAATCTCCGATTGTTTATTTGTCTGGCCAGTAGCCCGATGCGTGTACGTTATCAGTGGATGTGTGGATGTCAAGCTATCTCCCCTCGCTCTATTGTGTATTTATTTAGTTTACAAGGCAATGACATCAATACATAACAAACAACAGTAAGGAAATATATTAAATGTACAGTTTTGTATTAATATAATAGCATTTAGCTACTCTTGGAAACAGACTATACTGAACAGCCCCCACGCCAGTTACATCACCAAATTTATTTAAAGGGGCATTTGGAAGATTCCCCTTCAAGTCACGAGGCTTATGAATATGCTGGAAATTGTCGAAATTCACGGCCTGGTGGCAAATGTGAGAGTATGATCTCAAATAACCTTAATGCACGGAGCTAAATGATATTAAAGGCTCTTTTCATAACAAAATATTTGCTTCTTCGTTATAAAACCTTAACTTGTTTTTAGTACCTTAGCATCTATTAGAACACTTAGCAGCTTATTTGTATTTACTTTAGTATTTTGAAGATCAATGGAAGCCACTGTCATTCATAGGCTCAATTAGATAATATTCCCGTTATTCGAATGAAAACTACTCACTGCAACAACATTACTGTGATTTTGTTTCGGTGCACTAAGAACACTATCACTCGGAACGGACAGTTGTTAACGCTCCAATTCGGCTGATCTGCACTGGCTCGGAAGATGAATTCTGATTGGCTAAAAAAACAAAAAAACTTGTGGCGTTGAATGCACGTTCATTGTCAGTATTGTTATGCAAATTCAAACTAGCTAATCATTTACAACCTTCCGAGCCAGTGCAGATTAGCCCCTCCAATTCGATGCAAAGCCAATCTCTCAAAGTTGTGAGCCTCACAGAATACAGTGCAGTCGGATAGGAATATCGTACCCACATCATCCGTAACGCCAATGTACGCTAAACATTGTACAGTACCCACGTATTTTGATGTGTAGTCATTGCGTACCGATATAGATTCTTGACAACAAATTAATACATCGACACTTCCACACGGAAAAGCGGAACCACATAGTTATTTTTGTGTGTGTTTTTGCAGAGACACAGTTGCGACAATACCACCACAATGGTCGTTAAGGAAAGAACGACAGCAGAGAAATGGTCAACTCTTGTCATCACATGTTTTGCCTTAGCAGTTTTAGGTTTGTTCATCGCCATGGGTGTTTATTACGTATCACCCGCCGACGACCAAGACGCCCTCGCCCAAGCGAGTAAGTGCATCCTATATAATGTTTAACTTAAATGGACTTTCACATGTAGTATACTTGTCAGGTGATTTTATTTTATTTTGGACTTGTGGTGTCACTTTCCGGATTATGATTGCTGATTCCCACCACTCTTCCTCTTTTATGTTTATCCATGTGCCTTATAACGCCTAAATGTCTGAAATCCTGACTATTTCTAAGAGTAATGTTTTTTTTATTGGGTGTTTGATACAAGGTGATTCATAAAGCAACCCGACGGACAACACCCGAGGCAACTGATTAATTAATTAATTATTTTTAAATGACGGATTAATTAATTAATTAATTAATTAATTAATTAATTAATTTATTTATTTATTTATTTATTTATTTATTTATTTATTTATTTATTTATTTATTTATTTATTTATTTATTTATTTATTTATTTATTAATTTATTTATTTACATTGTTAGGGATACAGGTGACATGCTACACATACAATAAAGCAGTCACCCATGATCCTCCATGATCTTTAGCCGTCATTTAAAAATAGATGGAAGGCAATCATCAGATTTCCATATTAGATTTACTGGTACTGTAACGTAAACAATCTAATGTCGCGCGTTTCATAGACTGGCGTATAAAGAAAGTGATACAAATTATGCGGCAATGGATTTGCGATACATAGTCTTGATTAAGCACACAACCTTGCCAGATACGAAGCGTGTTTTCACCGAGTTGTTTCTGACCAATGTTACTGTAGTAGCAAGCTCGACGTTCTATACATTGCTCGATGCGTTACATCATGAATTACATCATCGGCATTGAACTCTTGCTACTACTGCATGATTAAAGTCTTGTTTTTTTTAACTTCAATGACAAGTGTTTGCAATTTTCGAGAAACAAAAATAAGTCAGATTTTTAAAAATTTTTTAGTGAACTAGTTTCCTCAAAAAAGTAAGCGGGCGTGCGACATTTGTATAACCGACGCATGTCTTCGTTTCTGAGTTTGTGTTATTATTGGTGTCTTTCGTCTTGATCTCTAATGTTCGAATTTTACTAATTATTAATAAATACAAAATTACGCACGAACACCACCCTGGGCCCCAAATTGGCTGACCCATAAAACAACGAGTGACACCAATTGAGAGCAAAAAAAAAAAAAACCAACGGCAGAGATACTCGCAATAGGGGGTAGGATGTTCTCAATAGGCTGCAATAGGGGGTGATTTTTCTTCAATATGTCTGCTCTACTAAATTTAAATTGTGTCCGCAATAGGGGGTATGGTTTGCCAATGTTCTGCCAGCCCCAGGGGCCTTTTTTTTTTTTAGCAAGAATGCACATGGTGTAATGTTTTAATATAGGGTGACCCCCCCTGCGTGTTTCGCTAACTAAACGTGTTATCTACATGACTATTGTGTTGATATTTTACAGGGGCGTTGCCGGCTACGACTGGTACCAAGTACATGATCGGTGTTGGAATCGCTGATGTTACGGGACCTGCAGCCGATGTCGGCATGGTACGGATTGGACTATTATTTCTACAGGGGTTGGTGGGGCGGGGTGGCATTAATTTTGTGTTAATATTTCACAGTTATGTCAGGGAAGTGTGAAGATTCTCTGTAACTAGTTATTATCGCTATTTTAAGCAAAAACCACCCCATAAACCCAGACCACTGAAAGATATCAGATACACCCTTGTTATGTTGTCATAAGAAGTGACATCCTATAATTTAAACATTGCTTTTAAGAAATAACATACCCTCGTTGTGTGTCGTCACTTTTTATGTTTGAAGCATACTAAATGTATACATATTCTTTACATTTCCATATACATGTGACATTTAGATGGGGTATGCGAAGCTCAGTCAGCAGACAGGAGGAATTCACCAACGGCTATACAGTCGTGCTTATATTGTCGGGGATGAAAATGGTGGCAATCGTTTTGTGTTCGTCAGCGCCGATATTGGTATGGGATCACAAATCGTCAGACTGGAGGTGAGCACATTGCAACGAACACGCCATAGTCGCCACAACGTGCCATGCGCATGACACAGGTTCCATCCAGTTGACGTATGCAATGGATTGTTCTGTTTTCCTATTTGTTTCGAAATTACGTTCTAATTTCTGAATACCGGAGAGAACCAGATCGCATTGTTTTTTCAAGATAGCTAAATTATTATTTCTTTCCCAACTATCATGTTGATATATATCTCAAATAGCGCAGAATGGTGGTGAGCTTCGTCTGAAAAACTGTGTTGTTGCAAATGTTCTACTAAATTTGTTCATTCATTGGACAGTTCAATTATTTTTTGACCGAAAATGTCATTCTGTGTTTACACAGAGATTACGTGACTATACTCGTCCATGCACACACTATCTTGTCGATTTCACATCCAGTGAAAAATAGGCTTTCCATCAATATATTGATTGCTTTTCGTGGTTCAGTACATTTTATATGGAAACATCAGTTTGGAAAAACAATACCAAAGGCGTATATGGCACCCTTAAATACACTGAAACTAAACAATTGTATTACGTCGATGGTGGTGCTTCAAACACACAGACCAAAATATTGGTATATTACTAGGACGCAGTTGTCAGCGTGTCATGTATG